GCATGTGTGGGAAACACACTTTAATTGCAGCCATTTTTGACTATTCCACAAGAAGTGCCCTGAATACAGACTAGGGCTCCCCACTGTATTCTTAAAGACATGGCCCATAGAAAACCGCTTTACTTCACAATACGCATGTAGTAGCTTTTGACGGTGGCAATCCACCCATTGCCACCTAGCTGTGCTAAATATTTTCGTTCCTAAAGTAAGGGGACGAAATTCCTTAGAGGGGCCCCAAATGCAGCGTTTGGGTCTGGCTGTCGACTAGCCAAAGGCAGAAAGCAATATTGTTGGTCTTTAATCTCTTTTTAAATGACCGATCCAAATGGCTGCTGTTGCTTTTTGCACCAAGGTGGCCTAGTACCACCTCCTCTCTAGCATGTTATGCATCCATTTCCAGAGCCTGCGTTTTTCTCCACCCATGTTGTGCCCTCTGGAATAGCAAGATCCCATGCTGTCATCTGATGTATTGGATTTCAGTGTCCATGTAATCATGAGCTTGTCTGGTGTGCTACAGAGAAACACTTTGTCCAGGCAAGTGAAAAAGAGAAACAAAGGGAGTTGGATTTGTTTCTCCCAGAGTGAAACAGGAATATGTCCACTGAAGTCAGAGTTATAGTAGCATAAAAGCAGTGTGGGGAGAATCAAACTCACTGTAGTCTCAGTTAAACATCTCCGCAGCGTAACAGAAGCATTTTTCTCTTCCAATCTGTTCTTCTGTGCCCATTGAAATCAATAGAAGAAAGTTCCGAGGGAACAGGCTGGGGGCATACGTCTGCAGTTTATAACTATAGGGATATTGTCTATAATGGGGAGTGGTCCATTCAATGAGCCTTTATTGGAAGGGCAAACTAGAAAAGTGTGGTCAAAGTCTAAGGAGAAACCCTGAGCTATGGGAGGTATGTGATAAGTAAGATCTGCCCAGGATAAGGCTACGTAGTGTGTTTTGGTTTGTTCCATTTGTCAGTAGTGTCCATTCGTCATCCGTTGCAGATTGCTGCGTCGTTCAATGTCTCCTTTCTCCCAGGGCTAGGAATAATTTTTCCTTGTTGCCTATTAATGAGAAGCCTTTTATGGTGCCTGATGATTTGGGGGAAATATATATTTTTTTCTTCTTTCGTTCCCTCCTTCTATTTTGCACGCTTGGCACTTGCTTTGCATGCCATGAAGTGTGTGTGTGTGCGCATATGGTGGTTTGGACAGCTGTGTGTGGGGATTGTACGATTAACTGCAAGTGCTGTGCTAAACATGTACATTGGGGAAGCACTATACTGCCATATCTTTCTTGCACTCAAATGGAAACTCTTGGTGCTTTGCTGTACATGTGATGATAATGCCCCAGAACAGAGAGCCCTATCCTGCAGTCCTTAAGCAAATCCTCCCATTAAGGCTGAGAGCTGAAATGGAGCTAACCACAGTATAATGTGTATTTTCTAGTCCAATCTGAAACCAACTCCTTTCTCCAGTCCTCTCCCCACCCCATCTTTGTTACATTCTCCCTCTCTTTCTCCTTAATCTTAACTCATGGAAGCTGTTTACAGCCCATTAAAGGATCAGATATCTTCAGAGGATGATTTGAGCTTTCATTAACATTTTTGCATCTTGCAGCTCAATTCCCTATGTAGGAAACCCTGACTTAAAGCATGATTCAGAGGGTAGCAATGACACTTGGATATTATGGAGTTTGGATCCAGAGCCCAGATATTAGTATTATGTATTTGTACGAAACAGGATGTCTATTATCCCCAGACATTCACTGGAATTCGTTTGGAACATCATCTTTGCAAGCTACATGCTTTGTATCTTTAAACATTACAGCCCAATGTGGTCAAAGCTGAGTTGCTCCTATAAATGAGATATGGCATATGAATAAATGACACAGCACTGATAATGTTTTATTGCCATCAAATCTTCATCCTGTGATGTGGGATTGTACCGCATATGGCAATGCAAACCAGTATTATCTCTTCATTTAAATCTTTAACATAGTTTCCTACTTAGCTTCTCCTGATTCCTCTTCCCAAGGTTGCCTGGCAAGAATCCCCCAAAGTGACAGCTGGAGCAGTGAAACCACTCTAGGCCTTTTCCCACAGTGGAGTCCTGCAGCGTCAACCGTTTTCCAGCCTCTAGAGAGAGGGCCCAGTGGCACAAGGTCACATTAATACCCATCTGAGTCAAGCGATTAAAAATAGGCCTGAAAAATACTGCAGAATATTAATAAACCTCTGAGAGAAATGGCTCGCCAATTCCCGCACATCACTTACAGGCCTGGGAAATACTTGGGATGTGACTGTAACACGGGGGTGTGATGGGTTGGACCCCTTAAGGTGCCACCTGATGTGTTGGGATATCACTGAGCTCGCCTGTTCTGCCAGCCAGGGCACCCTTTTTACCTGTCTTGCTGAGCCAGGCTATTAAGCCACCTCCAGCACACATGCAGGCAGGGCCACACCCAGCTGCAGATTGACACAGATACTGAGATCAGTGCTGGGAAGCCTCAGCTTAAGAGACTTGCCCCAGCATTCAGGTGTCCACCTGCCTTGGAGTGCAGACCCAGCGGTATATTATGAAATCTGCCTCCTCCCTCAAGGTGGAGGAAGGTATGCACAGCCTCTTACCCTCCCCCCCCATTATGAATTGCACAAATGGGGTTATACTATAAACAAGAAATAAGTTTAGACACTTAAAATTCACCTTTTGTAGTTAATAAAGAGGGCTGTGGGAGCCATGTTTCTGCAGGGCTGTGGGAGCCATTACTCGTAGGCTGTCTGGAGCGTCCACAGGAAGATTAAGCTCTTTCACAGTCCATTGTCTTTGCTAATGGGCTGGTTGGGGTTGACACCCAAAGTAGCATAGCTGAAATACAAATACATAGCCTATATTCTTAACTTCAGATACGGAAATGATACAGGCATACACATTGGATAATCACATTCAGTAAATCCTAACCTTTCCAATGATCTCTTACACGAACCATCTTGCGTAAAGTACATCTCAGTTATGTCACATTCATATCATAAGCATATTTTCATAAAGAATATGGAGTGAAAGGTCACAGTGGGTTCCCTTGAGGTGTGCGGAGGGTGACCAGATAGCAAGTGTGAAAAATTGGGACAGGGATGTAGGGGGGAGGGTAATAGGTGCCTATATAAGACACAGCCCCAAATATCAGGATTGTCCCTATAAAATCAGGACATCTGGTCACCCTAAGAGGGGGTGGCATGCTAGTCCAGAGTCAATGGGAGCAACATCGACCAGAAAAGCTGCGTGGGTTTTGGATCGCTGCTGTTAATGGGCTCCCATGGCTGCAGGTGGAGCAATGGCAGCTATTTGAAAGCCACTCCCTTCCTTCCCTGTTCCCGCAGCAGCTGCCAGCCCTGTTTGTAGCTGTGGGGTCAGACGACTGATTCTCTGCTCTGATCCCGCAGCACTTGACGTAGCTGATCAAATGCATTCATCCTAGCCCTGTGGAGCTACAGGTGCGAGTCTCCCCCTCGCTTTGAAGATCATGGACCCTCCTGGGGAGATGGCAGGAGAATCAACAAAAGGAAATACATTAGAAAGCAGAGAAGGGGGGAAAGAACAGAAGCTGAAAAGGACAAAGGAAAGGCAGGCGAGAGAGAATGGCCATTGAATGGGAACAGGGAAGAGTAGGTTGGAGGAGGGAGTGCACCTATGTGCACAGGGGTAGGGCAGTTCAAGCAAACGAGGTTGGGGACCCTTGCCGTACCCACAGAATGAAGGATTGGCTACACTGGGTGTTTTTGCTTTGGTGTAGTTGTACAGGTGCTGATCTTGCACTAGGGTTTGAAACCTAGGTAAGCCATGCTGGGAGAAGTCTCGCTTTACATCAGCGGAGCACATCTACTATAAGTGTTTCCATCAGTACAACTATGTTGGTGTAGTGACAACACTGCAACCCCCCCAGGGTAAAACATCCGAAGGCACCATCCTTCTTGTTCCTCAAAAGCTGATGGCCGTGAACAATACGGCACCAGAGCCTTTTCTGAAGGGCACCTGCTACCTTAAATACAGGATCCTTTTGTGGGCGTCTTGTGCCTGCAAAGCTCCCTCATGTATTTTGAGCATGAAGGTTACCTTTAGGCTCAATTTAGATGCCTCCCACTGCTCTCCCTGATTTTTGCACTCCGGACAGGTAGGAATGCCAGGACTCATCCGCTGCCTCTGTTCAGATACAAGAGCAAAAATGTGGGCACAGGTTTGGCGAGTGTAGATTGTGTTGGCAAAAGGGAGGCTGCCTGGTTGAATCTAAACACCCCTTAATGAGATTTTTTTTTTCTTTGAGTGGGGATTATTTGAATAACAATTATATTCACTAAGATTAAAAGCAATTATCTAGAGGACACTACACACTGATGCTCTTATCAAACCACTAGACTGGGACTTGGGAGCCCCGGTTTCAATTCCTGGCTATGCCACAGGCTTTCTATATGACTTAATCTCTCTGTGCCTCAGTTTCCCATCTTTAAAGTGGTCTCATGCTACCTTTGTCTTGCCTCTTTAGATTGTACACTCTTTGGGGTCAGCAACAGTGTCTGTACAGCACCTTGCAGAAAGTTATTAATAGTAAACCCCAACTATCTGAAAATGTTAAACACCCAAAGTGTAAGGAATTGTTCAGAGTGGAAGGGAGTCGAGGGGAATAATGCCAGAAGTAATGGGATGAAATTAAGGCAAGTAAAATTTAGGCTGAATCTTTGGGAGACTATTGGAAAGACCGTCCTGAGTCTCATCACTTATGATGTCTGAAAGGAGACCAGATAATGCACTGTAGGAAATTCTGGTCTCTGGGGAACAGACAAGATGGTGTTTTAGGTTTCTTCTTTCTCTAATTTCTTTGATTAGCTGGTGCAGAAGATCTCCTTGAGACAACGTTTGGAGGATTGCAAATGTTTGGGTAAACATAGCTAGCAGTAGACTGATGTATGCTACTAAGCTTGCTGCATTACTGGGATTTAAAGTGTCCTTTTTCTTTGCAGGCACTGGTGTCACTACACAGTTACGCGGACAGTTTCCTGTCAAGTGCAGAATGGCTCGGAGACCGTGATCCAGAGGGTTTATCAGAGCTGCCGGTGGCCAGGACCTTGTGCCAACTTAGTGAGGTAAAAGCCGTTAACATCTCATGTTGTATATTCAAACTGCGGACTGGGCCTTGCACTTCTGATTCAGTTAATGGGTATCTGGGCTAAGCAAAACATGTAGGATTGGGCCGTATGGGGCTGGATTCTGATCTTAGTTAACCCAGTATAAATTGGAAGTAACTCATTGAAGTTAAAGGAGTTGCTCCTGATTTATACTGGTATAACTGAAATCAGTACCCTACCTATGTCTGTAGCTTTGCTCTGTGTGGCATTTAGCTGTGCAAGCTTCCTCATACAGTTTTATTGAGGCACCTGGCATTACTGACCTGAAATACCACTACTCTGGCTCTCCAAGAACCCCAAGTGCTGTGACCTGCGGCGGGGCTTTTTGATGTGCACCAGAGCCAATGAGGGACTAAGATAAGGCCACCAAACTCATTGTCACGTGAGACCTGTGCCAGGATTGGATTTCATCCTGGTAGGTTCCCAGAGATTATGGGCTAATGCAGGGATGATGAAAGTACTTGATGCTGGGAGCCAGATCTTGCAAGGTGCTCAGAGCTCTTAATTCCCATTGACTTCAGAGCACCTTACAAATTTGAGCTCTCATAAGGTACTCTTCATCCACAGGTCTCCGTGACCTTTACAGAGGTGTGGTGTTCAATATCCCCACTTCACAGATCAGAAACCTCAGCACAGAGGTCGTGACTTGCCTAAGGCTTCTTGACTTCCAGGTCTTTGTCCTACCTGCTAGACAATTCTAGTAATCTATTGGGCTGCAGCCTTAAATTAGCCAACAAAGTGAATGGAATTATTTATCGCCACTTTGTTACCAACAGCTACAGAACAGGGTTTGAGATCATCTCAAACTTAGTAATGAAATGTCTTGATGGTAATGTAGGCAGAATATAGTTCCACCCTCTTCAAAAAGCATCCATCAAATACTGAGCTTCACCGATGATAGTATTCGTTGGGAATTTTAATTTTTCACCTTGCTGTTAATGCTCTTGGTTCTCCGTTTTCATTTGGCCACTGGTCAGTCTTACTCAATTTTCATTTATGTGGTTTGGTGTTTGGTCCTATTTCAACGACTGCCTTACGTGGGACATTTTATATCTTACATTCTTGTGACCAAACTTCTGCTGAGGTTTTAAAATTTCCCAGACCTACGTTTTTTGGTGCTCCATTCCTCTTACGAGTGCATGTTAACCTTTAAATACAGTTTTAAAAAAACTTGCCAAATTCTTGCCCATTCTTCTTTTTAAAATGTGAATGAAGCTACACTGCTAACAAATAATCAATCATGTTATTGGATCAACATCCTATCTACATACTTGTAAAGCTACTAATTAAGTAGGTATATTCACTGAAAAGAAAAAATGGTATAAAATTGATGTTTATCTATGAAAATTCTAGCAACTATAAACCCAGAGTTTTTTTGTTTTTGTTTTTTTGGTGTTCAGTTTTGTGACATTCTAACTTGGCTGGATGGTTTTCTGTCTTAAGTAATTTTTCTAATAGCCTGAAGACTATTAGCCTGAATTGTTCTGGCTGCTTATTTGAGGACAGTGAAGAATAGCAATGGAATGATTGGCAAGAGAAAAGCTTAAATTAAGAATGCATAAATTTAAAAATGAGACACAAGGTGGGTGAGGTAATACCTTTTATTGGACCAACTTCAGTTGGTGAGAGAGAGAAGGTTTTGAGCTTACACAGAGCTCTTCTTCATGTCACTAAAGACTGAAGAGACCTGAAGCTCAAAAGCTTGTCTCTCTCTCACCAACAGAAGTTGGTCCACTATTACCTCACCCACCTTGTGTCTCTAATGTCCGGGGACCCACACCACTACAACACTAAATTTAAAAATGTCAGAAGCCTGGGCACTGAAATAGTTTGAGGTTACTGACACTTAAGATCTCAGTTGGGAGCTGCCTCTCTGGGATGCAACTGCCCAATAGGAATGCCAGACATCCGATTTTCGACTGGAACGCCTGGTTGAAAAGGTTAGCACCGCTGACCAGGCCATTAAAATTCCAGTCAGTGGTACATCAGGGCTAAGGCAGGCTCCATGCATGCCCTAGCTCCAGGAAGCAGCCGGCATGTCCCTGCAGCCCCTAGGCGCAGGGGCGATCAACGAAGCTCCGTGCGCTGCCCACACCCTGAGCACTGGCTCTGCAGCGCCCATTGTCCGGGAACTGTGGACAATAGGAGATGCAGGGGTGGCGCCTGTGGGCTCAGACAGCGTGCACTGTGCAGAGCTACCGGCTGCCCCTGCGCCTAGGAGCCGGACATGCTATCTGCTTCCGGGAGCCATGCGGAGCCAGGTCAGACAGGGAGCCTGCCTTATCCGTGCGGCGCTGTGGATCGGGAGGCGCCTGAGGTAAGCGCCGCCAGGCTGGAGCCCGAACCCCCTCCTGCACTCGAACCCCCTCCCAAGGTTGGAACCCCTTTCTGCACTCAAACTTCCTCCCAGAGCCTGCACTCCCTCCCACACCCCAATCCCAGCCCTGAGCCCCCTCCTGGAGCCCACACCCAACCCTCTGCCCCAGCCCTGAGCCTGCTCCCACACTCTGAACCCCTCTGCTTCAGCCTGGAGCCCCCTCCTGCACCCCAGAGCCTGCACCCCCAGCCCAGAGCCCCCTCCCACATCCTAACCCTTCATTTCTGGCCCCACCCTGGAGCCCACAACCCCAGCTGGAGCCCTCACCCCATTCCAGTCCCCTGTCCCAGCCCAATGAAAGTGAGTGAGGGTGGGGGGGAGAGAGAGAGTGGAGGTGGGGCCTCGGAGAGGGGGTGGGGCAAGGGCAGGGCCTCAGGGAAGGGGCAGGGCACGGGGGTGGGGTGTCAGTCTTCTGCAATTAGAAAGTTGGTAACCCTACTGCCCAATTGCTGGCCTGTGCTCCCAGGACATGGACTAGAACACAAGAAAACTCTCTGTCCAGACTGGCCTTGAGCCATGCTACCTATTGCTTTTAATTAAGGCAATTTCATGAAATTGTTATCAGGCAGAGATTCCTCCAGGTAGAAACGGACCAGAAGATATATTTTCTGACATGAACACTGAAATGCTACCCCCCATCTCTACTGCAATTTGGGGAGAACGCTAGATTCCAAACTGAATGGCTGGCATGCTTCTTAGGTCACCACGATACCCTGTGCACTAGGTCATACATCATACCCACCCAGTTTCAATCATACTGGAGGCACAAAAGACACCTAAACGAACCTGAGGCTGTCCCTGGCTCTGTTTCTTGAGGACCTCCAGAAGGGGGCTGACAGAAGGGACGTGAGCCTACTCAGTTACTGACAATGGAAAAACAGGACTAGCACACACCTGCTCTAGGTGGCACATTGTATTCTCAGTTGAAGAGGTCACTGCAGAGAAGGAACGGTTTTGAGAACAAGTGCCATGTCGGCAAAGCCCCTGAGATTCAGAGATGGTAGCTGATTGAGAGGTATCCATTATCTCCATCCGAGGTGCCTCTATTTTTTTTAATTGGTTGCATTACTTTGTAGTATTTTTTTTTTTTTTTTGGTAGAGGGTGGGATGATCTCTTATTTACATTTTGATTTTTCACAAGGAGGTAAAAGTAGCCCCTGGAATCAATGGATGCTGACCATTGCCATGAGACAAGAGTGCAACCTTTTGTAACCCAAGCCCAAGAAATGAAGATCAGCTTCTTACAGCTCTCCCTGGGTCACCTGTGTTACGCTGCCTGTCCCTTCAGTTGAACGGAATTCATGGATGTCTATAATAGCACCATCTTGTGACTCCCAATAGCATAATTTCCAAGGCAGTTCTTAGTGCATCTCTAAAGTGCTGGCTGAATTTGTGACCTTTTTAGCTGGACAGCCTCATCAGGCAAACAGGCTGGCCTTTGGCCAGGACGTCTCTCAGATTGGGAGTGCTCAAGTCATATGGTTGGCGCATCCATCTCTGGCTATCTTGTATAAACTCAGATTTCCTCTCGAACCCGGCCCTGGTAAACTTCTGTGCATCAGTATTGAGACTACGCAGTTGGAGGGCACTCATTCATCTTCTGGTGGCTCTTGTGTTGTGGAACACCATTTAACATGGGCAGACCCAGGCCCCTGCACACTCGAGCGGCCCCCAAGCCCTTTCTTTGTGGCCTGACAGCTCAGCTTGATTTCACAAAGAGACAGATCTGAATCCCAGAGAAAGCTGCTGTGAAGAGCTGCACGTTTAAGCGTGAGCTTTGCTCGATGCGAAAGTGTCCAGACATCTGGGATTAGAGTGCAGGCCAGTGGTTTCCAGTTGTTTTTGATGAGATCCCATTTGTCCTGGTTGGTGGTCTTTCCAGTAGCGGAGTGTCTCTCTCTCTCTCTCTCTCTTGCTCTCTCTCTCACTCTCTCTCTCCATAAAATATCTGAAATAGTTTGATGCCCAAGGACTTAATCAGTAATGATGGCCTTTGCTTCACTGCAGGTTTAATTTGTACAGCGACTGTTTTCTTGAACAGCCCGTGTTGAGTTCCCCATCCCTGTTTGCTTTCTGTTGTTCCTGTATCTCTCTGCTGCGTTTTCTCTTTCTCTTTCTCTTTCTCTTTCTCTTTCTCTTTCTCTTTCTCTTTCTCTTTCTCTTTCTCTTTCTCTTTCTCTTTCTCTTTCTCTTTCTCTAACACTGTAATCTGCAGGGTACATTCATCACCCTTAGTGATGCTCCTAGTGGAGCAGCACCAGTCCGCATTCCTGGCTAATGCATGGGGCTGATCACACTCTACAGGCTAGCTGTATGGAATCTCAGCAACTAGACTGGCCGCAGTGGGGACGTACTGTGTTGTGTGGGAAGTGTCATTCTTTCGGATGAGACATCAAAGAAAGATCTCTTTTGTTGTGCCTGGCAAGTGCCTAGGTCGGGGGGGGGGGAGGGGGAATAATCTTTCTGATTTAACCACTATTGTAGTGCTAAGAAGATCCTCACATCCGTGGTACTGGGTGAAGAAGCCTTGTTTGTATTGGCAGCTCAGTTTGGTCTCACGATCGTTGTGTTGCCCATAGAG